ACATCGGCTTGGGAGCCTGCCCTACTCCAGTATGACATCATCTTAACTAATTACACCTGCAGTGGCCCTATTTCCAAATAAGTCACATGCTGAGATACTCAGAAGAAAAGCAGCTTCTGAGGCAGCAAGGCCATTGGCATCAAAAAGCTCAAAAATGTGGAGAGCCAAAAGGTGCAGCAAGCTACTCCTGGATTTTTGTCCAAAGATGGAATGTTTACCTGGGCTCCCTGGGCTCCCTGGGCTCCTTGGACTCCCAAGATTCCATGAGTAGAAATCAGGAGGTTGGAGAACATTGATGAGAAAAAGTTACATCTTTGTTTTCACTAACCTTCAAGGGAAATTTAGTATTTCCTTAATTTATGAGTGTAAGCAACAAGCCACCGCAGTACCTGTCACCTTAGCCTGGTAGAAATTACAGATCTTGTCATATCATATGGCATTGGTTGCAAACAACTTGGAATCATGTTAATGCTCATCACTACTTTATTACAGTAGTGAGAGCTACTGTATCCACTTTCTAACATATTGTTAGTTAGTATGTGAATACAGAAACATTTATGTGGCTATTTCACTGATTCATTTTTTATAATATTGAATATTTTCAATATGCAGACAGTCCTTGCCTTATGATTTTTTGACTTTACAGTGGTGCAAAAGTGATACACATTCAGCAGAAACTACTTCAAGCACCTGTACAATTTTTCTATTTTTCACCTTCAGTACACTATTCAGTAAATTTCATGCAAGTGTTCTGAGCACATTTAAGGTAGGCTTAGGCTAGGCTAAGCTATGATGTTCGGCAGGTTAGTTGTACTAAATACAATTTTGTATTATGATATGTTTATCAGGGCATAACCCCATTGTAAATTGAGAAACGTCTGTAGTTTCCTTTGTAATAGTATATATTTTACTTAATACATTTGAAGACATTCTGAGACAAGGTTCACTGGTTTCACCGCACAGCCTGAAGGTCCCTGGCACAGAAATGGAATGGCTAAGAACTCTTGTTCACACATACAACCAAGAATGTGTGTAAAGCATGATCATCATACAAAACAACAACTCCCTGCCCACAGGATTTGGGATTACAGTACATCCCGTTACTTAAACATGGTGTGTAAACATAGGAAATCCTCCACACGTGTATATTTTGTAGGACTAACTTTGTTTTCCCTTTATAGCTAGCCCTTAATGATGAACTAAGATTATATCAAAAGCAGACACCCAGGGCCGGCCCGGTGGCGCACTGGATAGTGCGCCGCTTGGGAAGCGCGGCAGCGCTCC